AGGGTGAAGACCTTTGTCACCGTCACCAGTAGCACAACAGGAATGGCACAGTAGAAGGAGTAGGAGGAACCTGAGGTACCAGCAACTGCAGCAACCTCGATCACTTAGCAGCCCAAACAGTCGTCCTGGCGCTCCATCTCCATGAGGGGGTCTGAGAATCAAGAGTCGGGGTTTCTGTCGGAGTCCTCGTCGAAGTTTGTGCAGCGGCGACGGCCCATCATATACCACCAGTCGCCTGGTGAAGGACTCGGCGGAGGAGTTCGCGGAAGAGGGGCTGGAAAACCGTCTTCGTCTAAACCATCTTCTGGCTCTGGTGAGGCTGTCCTGATCATGAGTTCCCATTGTAGGCTTAGCGTCAACATACGATCTTGATAGGGACGTTGCCATATTTCTCTGAACCATGCTGTGACACGTATCCTGTAAGTGTCGTCACCAACAGTGTAGCTGCCAATGATGTTGAAGATGTCCGCAACCGCAAAGAACCTTTCCATGCTGACCGAGATGCTGGCTGCCACGCCAATGGGCTGTCGTAGGAGACCGAATATGAAGAACGCAGGAAGCGTGAACACGCGATGTGCTCCACGAGACACACCACGAATGAAACCGCAGCCGCGCCGTCGACAAAGTAGGCCGGCCTGTGGGCGGTGATATGGACGGTACAATCAGCGGAGAGTGTATGCACCTTTCTCTCCTGAGCGCTGCTCGGCGAGACGGCCCGAGTCGAGAGCTGTGAGCGCCGTGTGGGCTCTCGACACGCCCGAGCTTGAACGTAAGCGGCAGCAGAAGCATCTAGCTGCCTGGCATTCGCACAGGCGCGAGGGGATCTAATCTCTCCTCTCCTCCGCCGCTCGCCCGACCGATTCTCATTGTTTTAGAATGGGTCATAGAATGGTCTTAATGATCAGAGGGGGATGGGGAGGGGGAGGAGGAGGAGGAGGAGGAGGAAAAGGAGGAGGAGGAGGAGAAGGAGGATGGGGAGGAGGAGGAGGAGGAGGAGGAGGAGGAGGAGGAGGAGGGGAGGAGGAGGAGGAGGAGGAGGAGGAGGAGGAGGAGGAGGAGGAGGAGGAGGAGGGAGGAGGAGGAGGAGGAGGAGGAGGAGGAGAGAGGACTAGGACGAGGAGGAATAGGAGGAGGAGGAGGACGAGGAGGAGGAGGAGGAGGAGGAGGAGGAGGAGGGAAGAGGAGGAGGAGAAGGTGCATCTTTGTTTCGACTCTTCATATATAAAAGTAGATGTCTCTGTGTACCCCTAGCTTCGCGCTGCCAGAGTGTACTTCCAGCGCTTGGTCCTCTTGCGTTGCCTGTCTCGTCTTCTTGTAGGTCCTCCAATCGTCTACACTGACCTCGCGAAGTCGTTGCCACCAGTTCTAAGTCAGATCGCCACCGCCCTTGTCTCTGCACTGCAGGAACGCTACAATCTGAGAATTCAAGTTTGCTCAACACGAATTGGCAGTGGTGGGCGAAGAGGACAGGGACGAGGATGGCCACGAGGACGAGTAGACGAAAGCGACAACGATGTTTATATACATACATAAGTACATATACAATACAGGACTGTATTTGCGCTTGGCGCCATGCACCTTGGTCCTTGAAGTTTGGCATGCAGGCGGAAGGGCAGGACGGTAACACAGAACATGCAGCGATAATTCCTTGTGGTGTGTTCCGGCATCTTCGTGATAATGGTATTGTTCGTGATAGTTCTCTCATATTTCCTCTTCCTCCTCCTCAATACTGCCCTACCGTGCGAATTCTTCCCCATCCTCAGCTCTCTTTGCGAAGGTTCCTCCTTGTAGAGCCTCTTGCAGTGCTCTCTAGAGTTTTATAGCATCTTGGGTCCTTTTGGAGGCCTCAGGAGGCGTCCTCGGGGCCACCCTGAACGACCGACCGGGTCACGATCTGGAATGCTGCGGGGTGCGTCTTGGGGCCACCTTGGGCCGTCGTGGGGCTCTCTTCGGGCCATCTTGGGGCCTCTTGGGCTGTCATCGGGTTCTCTTGGACTGCCTGGACGCCCTCATGGGTAGCCTTCGGCCGATTTTCGGGCCTTCCGGGTGGTCTTGGACGCCCAGAAGACGGAAGAGCACTCCCGAAGTCATGTAAAAATCCATGGGCAGATTATGTTTGTCTGAATTTCGAAAGCGTCTTGGGGGTCTTATTTGAACATTTGGGTCGTCGTGGCCGAAAGCGTCTTGGGGGTCTTATTTGAACGTTTGGGTCGTCGTGACATGGACGCATATACTTCTGCGAGCCGCATTCGGGAGGTTCGCAGGTCCCCGATCAAATGCAAAAGCGTGTTAGAGATGAGTAACTCAGTGAACCCCTGAGTCACTAAGGCAAGGTCCGAACGGAGAATGCGGGCAACGGGCTTGACACGCCGGCGGGGCAACAGCGACATGACGTGGCTCCCTCGAACCAAAGTCAACACGCGACGACGCAAGGGGAGGGTGTCCAAGAAGGCCTCGAGCCAAGATTCGCACGCGACGACGCAAGGGGAGGGTGTCCAAGAGGTACGGCCTACCCCAGGCCTACTCCTAGGTTTACCCAGGCCCACCCCTAGGACCTGCCTCTGGGGCACTCGTAGGCGTAATCCTTGGTTAATTTTGAGGCCTACCTTGGGTCTGGCCCAGGGCATGGGTAGGTTCGGCTCCTAACAACTAGGGCCTATCCCTAGGGGGTGCCCCAAACCCTAGGGCTTCCTTTGGGCTTGCGCCCTGGCAAACCTTATGTCTGCGAGTTCGCAGCGCCTGGTGGGTGCCCGTGGCTCTCGCGGGCCCCTTCGGCAGCCCCCCCGACGGCTTCGGGCCCGGTTGCCGCAGCCGAGCTTGGGGCGCGCCCGGGAGCCCCGGACAGCCCGGGGAAGTTTTGCAGGGGCGTCAGGGTTCAGTCGGGCATGCCCTCTACAAGAGGAATATTCAAAAATAGTTGAAACATAGTCTGGGGACGATCTTTTCTTTTGGTGGGGGCTATACAATTTTTGAATATGTTGGGGGTATGTTTGAATCATTTTTGATATTTCACCCAAAATGTCCCTGTAGAGGGACAGGCCCGACCTAAGTCCAGGGCCTGATTCCGATTTGGATCCCGATTCTCTAGTGAGGCCGTACTACTCTGCCGATTTCCGCCGATTCGGCTCCTCCCGACTTGGCTGCCGATTTCTGCCGATCCGGTCCATTTCGATCGCCGATCCGACGTATCGATTCGGTTCCGTGGTTGTCGGGATCCGTTTTTAGGGGGCGGCATCCCCGCTCCCCACCCAAAAGGCAGAAGCGAGAGGGAGCGAGAGAAAAGCAGAGCTGCGCCAGCAGCTCCAGGCCGATCAGCGGGCCGCATCGCAGGCCACCGCGGGCAGCTCCGAGCACGCCGGGCCCCTGACGTTGGCACGCGCGCATGCCCGTGCTTCCAGCGAGGGCTGCACCTGCCCCAATCGGTCAAGGGTGGGCGGACGACTGGCCGCCGCGGTGGCTCGTTCGTTCGGCGAGCACGCAGGGCCGCCTGACACCGTGTGGAGCCAGCGGCACACTGGTCAGGAGGGGAAAAAAACACAGACACAATTCATCGTCAATTCCCAGGAAAATATGGGAAACTATTTTAGTTGTGTGTCCTTGGGCCCCTTGCACTGGGGGCACCGGTCCATCAGAGCGGCTGAGCAGGCCTGCCCCTGCAGAAGAGCCCCCATCATCTCGAGGCGCCGAGGGCAGATTCGTTTGCCACACTCGAGAGAGGAAGCTGCGCGCCATGCAGAGGGCCTTGGCATCGCTCGGACGAGTGGGTGTTTCTTTCGGCGAGGGCCATCGAGGAGCATCATGGATGACCTGGCAAAACAGGCACGCACGAAATCTAAACATGCACGGGGAATGGACGTCCGAGCGATGGCCAGGAAGGCTGGAGCGACATGAGGGGGCGGGGGCAGACGCGAGCGATGAGCGACGGGCGGGGGAGAGGGCCGCAGACGCCCGCCCAGCTCGCGTGGAGTGGATGCAGCGGTGATGGCACCCAGGAGGGGGAGGACGGGGAGGAGAGGTTTGGTTGAGAGATCGAGTGAGCCAGAAAGGGAGGGAGAGGGGAAGAGAGGAGTGAGAGAGAGAGAGATACACACATCGATATTTTATTTATATATGTATATATATATGTACAGAGAGGGATACGAGGGAGGCTGCGTGAGAAGGAACGGGGACGAACAGACCAGGGAGGGCGGGAGGGAGGGCCAAGCAGGCAGACACAGGATGGCAGGGCAAATGCAGGATGGAGGCATCCGGGTCTGAAGGTAGAGTTTGAAAAGGCTCCATGCGGATGTTTTTCAGCCCACGCACATTTCAGCTCGGCCCTGAGCAACTCTCAGTACAGGTCGATAGAAGAACTCGTATCTCTTGTTTTACGCCCACTCCTTTTGCATGTGAGCACTCATCGGCCAGTGTATTTAAGCATTGGATGCGTAAGCCAGTGAGGTTCTAGACGGTCCCACGAGAGCCCAAAGGGAGCCAAACAACGGCCCCGTAGCTCCAAGATGGCCCCGAGAGGCCACCAGAGCCAGAGGGCCCCAAGAGGTTCCGGATGTGGGCCCACATGACCCCCAGGCATCCCAGAGATGCCCGCGCGAGCGTCCCGCGATGACAGATTAGGAGCTGGAGGAGGTGGAGAAGACAGACGTAAAGGATGCGGGACCCCACCTGCCCGCCTTCACCACCTTTTCCTCGTCTCGATCATCCTTCTTCCCTTCCCTTGGCCGGTGCTGAAACCAACCTGCGGGCAATATTTCTATCCACATCTAGTGCGACTTGATTTCTCATGGAAGGGGCGCCGCAGGGCCGAGGCGCACTGGACATGGATAACATCTAGCCTTTGGGGGCCAGATGTTGATCCATATCCAGTGCGCCTCATGCTTTTGGGGGAGCCCGAAACTCCAAGACGCACTGGATGTGGGTATGGACGCTGCCCGTGCAGTCGGCTGCGCGTCCTCGAGAATTGCGCGCTCGGGAGCGCGGGCGTCGGACCAGGTCGGGGCCGCATGGCTGGAGCACGGGCCGAGCCTGACGGGGCGGGGACCTCCGAGAGAGAGGCTGCCAGGGCGCTTCGGGCGAGGTGGGTACAGCGGAGGCCCAGGCCAAGAAGCACCCTGCCTGCTTCCAGGGTGTCCTGGGTTTCGATGGCTTTTTGCGGTGGAAGGCGTGACGTTCCCGCGCCAACAGTCCAACGTCCATGGACGTCCCAGGGTTGCAGGGTTTGGGTTCCCTGTGGAAGGTTTCTTGCGGTCGGGCCCCTCCTGTACCAGCTGGACGCTAGGTGGGGGCGAGGTCCACATGGGTCGACGTTCGTGGTGCGGGCTCGTGCACACAGCAGGTGCCAGGGCGGCCTGGGGCCAGACGAAGATGGGGCCAGGGGGGGTATGACTATGGGCGAGCACCATGTTGTGGAGCACATTTTCCCGGAAAGGGCTCTAGCCCAGGGTTCTCTTTTAATAGGTTTAATACACAGCCTCGACTTGCATAGGGCCGGCGGAAGCATTCTGCGATAGATAACGAGGTCGCGTAGGGCCGGTGGATGGAATGTCGAGGATCTCCCGAGCGAAGCGCTTTTTTGTTGTTTTTTACATTCCGATGGGTAAAGCACAGGGTGAAGTTCACATGTTCGTTAGTTGTGGATTTCTCGAACGAAGCGCTTGTTTTGCAGAATGTGATCAGGATGTCTCGGGCGAAGCGCATGTTTTGTTTCATTGATTGCTCCTCTCCTGGGGCTCGAATGTTTGTTTTCGTTTGACGTTTTTTTTGTTCTAGATTGCCCTAGTAATCGCCTCAGCGGGACAAGCGTGAAAACACCTGTGTTTCTAACGCCCCAGAGCGGGGCAAGCGTGACAACAAGTGGGTTCCTAGCACCCCAGAGCGGGACACATTTGAAAACGCCTGGTTTTCTAGCGCCCCAGAGCGGTACAAGAGTGAAAACACGTGGGTTCCTGACGCCCCCGAATGGAACACGCGTGAAGACATGTGGGTACCTAGCGCCCCAGAGCGGGAAATGCGTGAAAACAAATGGATTCCTCACGCCTCAGAGCAGGTCAAGCGTGAACACATGTGGGTTCCTAACACCCCAGAGCGGGACAATCGTGAAAACATACAGGTTCCTAACGCCCCAGAGCGGGACAAGCGTGAACACACGTAGGTTCCAAACGCCCCAAGGCAGAACAAGCGGGAACACACGTGGGTTTCCGCGCCCCAGAGCGGGCGTGACAACACGCGGGTTTCTAATGAACGCCCCAGAGCGGGACAAGAGTGGAAACATGTGGGTTCCTAACGCCCCAGAGCGGGCGGGAATAAGCGTGAACACACGTGGATTCCTGACGTGCCAAAGGAGGACAAGCGTGAACCTACGTAGGTTCTTCACGCCGCAGCGCGGGACAAGCGTGAAAACACGTGGGCCTGACGCCCAAGAGCGGGGCAAGCCTGAAAATAGTCCCTGGTGCGTTCCCTGCCCGTTCCAAAGCGCAGCTCTTGCCACGTCCCCCGATACGTCCCCTGGCGCATCTCCGAGTGCGCCCCTGGCACCTCCCGTAGCGCGTCCATGCGCCTGGCGCTTCGTGCCGTCTCGTGCCGCTTCGGAATTGGACCGGATCTTGAGTCTGAGCTGATTGAGCGTCCAACACGTTTCGATTGCAGTGAGCGATTCGGCCAGCTGTTCGCTCAAGCAGCTCAATTCATGGCGGCATGGCACACACACACACATCTCATTTCAGCGCGGCGCAGCACAACATAACCTCTGGCACGGTACATCACGATCGATATCTTCAGCATAGAGGCGCGCATCGCGCGGCGCGTTCTCATCATCATCATCATCATCATCATCATCATCATCCTCATCATCGTCATCATCATCATCAGCATCATCGTCATCATCAGCATCATCACCATCATCATGCTTATCTTCAGCATTGCCACTACCCATCGCCCATCGCCCAGTGCATTTTACGAAGGATCGTGACCTTCGTTCACGTTCATTGGCACGTTCTCTGGCGCCTCCCTTGGGCACGTCGCGCAGCACGTCCCTTGGCACCTCCCTGGAACGTTCCTGGCACGTCCGCTGGCACATTCCGTGGCGCGTCCCGTGGCTCGTCCCCTGGCACATCGCGCGGCGTGTCCGCTGGCACGTCCACTGGCGCGTTCCGTGGCGCGTCCCTTGACAAGTCGCGGTGCGGCGCGGCACAGCGCAGAGAAGCACAACACAGCTCCATGGCACAGTAGCATCATCATTGATATCTTCAGCATTGTCACTTCCCATCGCCCATCTGAGGCGGTTGGAACGTTCCCAGGCCTCGCAGTCTGACATCCCTTTCTGGGTTCGTGGGTCGATTATGTTCTCCACGATTATGCTCTCCAGAGCGGCAACGTACGGCTTTAATTTTGTCCATAAAAGCCGCATGCGCCGTTTGTTGGGTGGGTTCGCTGATCTGAACCGAAGCGATAAGCGCAATCGGCGCCGTGGCAGCTTCCATGTGGATTCGGATGCAGCCCCAATGGGCTGGAGAGAGTCCGCGTCGATGATTTCACTCCGAATTCCAATTCAGTTCATGGGAGCGTCAGGCCGCGCCATCACGGTGGCATCATTGTGTGGTCGTTGCGTTGTTGTTGGTTGTTCTTCTGGGTTTTTCCATAGCTTTTCGAGGCATACATTGAAGACCCATGCCAACAAACACTTTGTTTGCCTCCAGGGTGCCCTGAGTTCCTTGTGTCTCGATGGCTTTGCTACGAGAAGCGTGGCGTTCCAACACCAAACATCAATGGATGTCCTTGGGTCCCAGGGTTGAGTTTCTTGTGGAAGGTTTCTTGTGGTCGAGCCCCTACTGTATGTTAAACCCCACAGTTCATGGGCCTTTCGGATCTTCTTGCTGTCTTTAGGGGGCCACGGGTCTCGGTTCTTGGGGGGGATCTTGGGGCTGATGTGGGGTGTCCCGAGGTCGTTTGGGAGGTATTGTGCCGTCTTGGGCTAATATTGTGCCCTCGTTGGGGGTCCTTATGAGGCCGTCTTTCGGCGGCGAGCGAGGGCGGGAAATGAGAAGGAGAAGCAGAAGGCGGCGGGACTTCTCAGAAGCCCCCGCGTCTTTGAGTAGTTTGTTCTGTCTTTGGGGAAGGCCTAGAAAACTTCTCGGAAGGCCGGGAGACTTCCGAACCCTCTGAGGAGGCTTTCTCTTTCGCTGTTCCCCCCTCGTTCGCCGCCGAGTCTTGGAGCCGTCCCACAGTTCTTCGGTGGGCCGTCTGGATGAGGATGCCGCCCAGGCCGAAGGCTGTCAATGGGCTCACTGATTTCGCTGTTCGGCTCTTGGGCCCCCCCCCCGGCTGCAGGGGCGGCTTTCATGGAGGGCTCTGCGGGGGCCTTTGGGGGGATTATTGGGGCCTGTTGGGTTGCCCAGCGTCCTCAGGGCCGTCTTGCAATATCGGTTTGTTCTCTCTGCGTGCCGTTCAAGCCATCGTTCCATGGTGCCGCGCTGTAGCAGCCGCAGTTGTTGCGTTGCATTGTGGTCCCACTCGAAGCGCGCAGACCGATCGTTGCTACTGCGGCATGAGTTGGTCGACCTCCCTGACAGAAGTGCTACGAGCAACGAGAGAAGATAATGCATGCCAGGTATGCACATGTGGGTGCGACTTTCCCGTCGCCGTCAGCGTGCACGTGAATTTACTGATCATCGGGCTCGCCACGACGTTGAAGTCATTTTTCATTGCGTTCAGGTGGCAAGCGGGGCTCCTTAAGCATCACGTCTTGTTGGGTGGTACATGTTGTGCGATGCTACCCGAATGGGCAGAGTGCTGGCGGCGCACGCAGTACAATCAAGAAGTTGGGAGTGAGGGGTGGAGTGGACAGTGGATACCAGTGAGGACTAAGGGAATATGTGTACGATGACGGCGGGCGGGTAGAAGGGATGGGTGATGAGGGGACCCACGCCAAGGGCAGTTGTGCAACACCTGGTGCCATGGAGGAGAACACCTGGGATCGCCCCTTCGTGTTCAGTGCCCCCCGAGAGAAGGGCAGGTGCTATATGTCTGAGCGGCGCGACCTGTCCCATTCGTGTTGCAGTGTTGCAGTGCTGCAGGAGCAGGAGGAGGAGGAGGAGGAGGAGGAGGGGGAGGAGGGGGAGGAGGAGGGGGAGGAATAGGAGGGGCAGGAGGAGGAGGCGGGCCAGTCTGGGCTTCCAGAGCCCCCTTGGACGCCGGCGGGACGCCGAGAAGCGTCGTGGTCTGTCGCGAGAGTGCTGGTGCCCGAGAGACTCCCTGCTCTGCGACCGACATCCGACGCGGTCCTGGCTGTGGAGGTTTTCTCCGAAAGGCTCAGGCGACCCGTCCTCCTCCTCCTCCTCCTCCTCCTCCTCCTCCTCCTCTCTCCTCCTACCTCTCCCTCCTCCTCCTCCTCCTCCTCCTCCTCCTCCTCCTCCTCCCTCTTTCCTCAGTCCCTCCCTCCCTCCTCCCTCCTCCCCCTCCTCCTCTTCCTCCTCCATCTCCTCCGCCTCCTCCCTCCTTCCTCCCTCCTCCCTGCCTCCCTCCTCCTCCCTCCTCCTCCTCCTCCTCCTCCTCCTCCTCCTCCTCCTCCTCCTCCTTCTCCTCCTTACGTTCGATGGACAGCGCGCAGCGGACCAGACACGTTCGAGGGCCCATGAGCGCTGTCATCGCTCACCTTTTACAATATGGCTGGGATCCAATCTCTCCTTCGCGATGGCATCTTCCAAGCGACGGGTGCAACGGCGAGGACATCGAATGGACCTTCCCAGACCACGCTCTCTCAGGCAACGAGGACATCGCAGATCTACTTGACGATTTTGCAGGGTCGATTCGAAGACACCTCTGGCGTCAAACTGCAGGTCACTATTGCGGAGAAGGAGCAGCAGAAGGCATTGACAACTATTCATACGGTTTTTTCATACAGTCTCTGGCAGACGCTCCCAACGGACACGCCGTAAAGGAGCTCATGCTAGCGATCGTGGTCGGTGGCACTTGGCCACGTGAGCGCCTCATGGCAGACGTTCACGCA